CCCCCCTCCGGCTGTTTTTGGGCGACCCCGGGAACCGGTGCGGCCCGCGGGGGTCACTCACCTGACCAGGAGCTCCAGGAAGATCACGTTGCTGCAGCAGCCGGCGAAAACCAGGCCCACCGCGAAGAGCGGGCGCATGGCCGGCGCGGGGGACGGGGAGGAAGTGCCCGCCTAGACCGCTACCCCAGGAAGCCGGGCCGCTGCCTCGGCCGCGGGACACAACATCGCCGCCTCCCCGGAGCGCTGACTCGGCCCCGGGGCCGCCACTGGACCCCCTTCCCCGGCGGCCGCCAACAACGCCGCCTGCCGAGGAGCTGTAGTTCGCCGTCCGCCCCCGCCCCATTCATTCGAGGGGGCGCTCTGGTCCCAGCCAGACTACACGTCCCAGGATGCCGCGCGCCCTTACGTCAGGCTGGCACGTGTCCCGCGTCGGCAGGGCAGCTCCACTAGGAAAGGGAGAGGGGCGAGGTGACCGTCATGCCTCGCGCGATAGGGGGCCGCGGGGCTCGCTGGGAAGTGAAGTTCCAACCCCGTCGATACTGTTCCTCGCGAGGGCGCGGAGGTCGCAGAACGGGATCCGGCCGTCGCCGTGAACAGGCGCAGCTGGCGGCGCGGGAGCTGCGGCCCCGACCGGTCGCTGCGGGCGTTCTGGCCTCTGGGACAGTTCTGAATTGCGTGAAAGTAGAGCTTCCTCCGAACTTACTTTTCTACCTTTGAAAGGAAGGTTGCAGTCAGAAGTGCTGGAATTGCACCTTGACTCCGCTGCTGCTGAGCTCAGCTGCCCCAAGCAGCTTCTTGGAGCCTTAGTCTCATTATTGGTGAAAATGGGAGCAGTAAGGCCCATTTTACCGCTGGTTGCGAGGGCTGCAAGCGATGACCTCGTTAAAATGTGGATTCCGATTCATTACACCTGCAGTTTGCCCCCGGATTCTGCATTTCTAGCAAGTGCCCAGGTGCTGCTGCTGCTGCGGATGATGATGATGATGATGATGATGATGATGATGATGATGGTCTGCGGGCCATTCTTGGAGGCACCGGCGCCTATAACACAGTCGGCTCTGGAGGCTTCTCTGCCCCACCCTCCCACTGGCTCAGGGACCCTACTCTTCCTTAGGTTTTTTCCTTCCCCTTCGCCTGCAATCATACTCAAACTGATTTATCTTTCTCCTTCGCTTTACCACCAAATATCTTTCAAGACTCATTCATATTCATAGTCTTTGCTTTTTTATTCTGATCAAAGCCAGATTTTTTTAAAAAAATAGCTTCATTTAGAGTTCTACTGACCTCTTAATTGTCAAAACCACGTACGGCAGGCCCCTGAATAATGTGTCGCTCAATGTCGTTTAGTTATAATGTCGATGAGATGCCGGCACAACTTAACTCTGGCTTATATCAGTTGGCCTAGGGCAGTGATTTTCAACCCGTGCGCTCCAGGAGGCACCCTGGTGCGCCGCAAGAATTTTTAAAACACGCAACACCTGAGCTCTTTCCCCTTAGATGGTCAAATAAAGGTGACAACCGCCAATACAACAATAGCCATCTGGTGTGAAAGAATCAAAATTATACCTTTTTTGTGTGTGTCGGATTGGCAAAAAATGCATTTTTTGGTGTGCTGCAGAATTTTAGTAATTACTTTATGGGTGCTATGCAATGAAAAATGTTGGAAATCTCTGGCCTATGACAAAATTGGTTTCATTACATATATTGTTTCTCTTAAAGTCACAGCTTCCGAGAACCAGTCAGTGATGCTACGTGAGAACTTACTGTACCAGTCTTACTTGACCTTGCAAATGGCTTTTGACAATGAAAGCTCGTCCTCTGACATTCTCTTGTCCCTCTTCTTAGAAGTCACGAGTCTCCTCTTTCTGTTTCTAGTTCTCCGACTTACCTTTTTTCAGTTTTCCTTGCAGGCTTTTCCTCCGCTGCCCACTGAATTCTCCTTCCAGAGTCCCATCATTTGCCCCCTCCTCTTTTGCCCCGAACACATTCTACTGGTGATCTCATCTCCACAATTTCTACCATCACCCTATATAACTGGGATCCTACACCTACCTATCCGTACAGCCCCAATCTCCCTCATGTCTCAAAGTTTCCACTTGCTTATTTGACATCCTCAGCAATGTGATGTCTGAGGAGGGGAACTTTCTGCTCACGAAAGCTGTGTGTAGCTTTTCAATGAACCATTCACAGTTCCCTCCTCTACATCTCCAGCACCCCATCCACACCTAAACTGTTCCAGGAATCCTGTTCCCCCTACAGCTATCTGTTTTCATGTCAGTCTCCCTCCCCCTCTAGACTGTGCCCTTTGTGGACAGGAATCAAGAATAACTCATTCGCCTCTAGATCCTTAGCATAATATAGAGTGACTGGTATGTAATATGTACATATATTTTTGTTGTTGTTGAATAAATGAATGAGCTTGACTTTTTGTTTGAGTAAAATAATTCACACTTCATAAAGCCAATAAATATGTAATATTTTTCAGCCTGATGAATTTAAAAAATGCAAACATCAAAAATGCACTGTGCAATGAATTTGCAGAAACAATTATAACCAGTACCCTACCCGGGAAACAGAACATCACCAGCATCTCAGCAGCAACTTGTGCAGCCTTCCAATCACTGATCCCCTCAAAGAATAACTGCTCTTCTTACCTTCTAGCACCAGAGATTAGTTTTGCCTGCTTTTGGACTTGACATAAATGGAATCCTACGGAATATTTTCTTTGGTTTCTGCTTCTTTCCCTCAACATTATGTTTGTCAGCTCCTCTGTGTATCTGTAGTTCATTCATTATCATTGCTGTATAGCATTCCCTTGTGTGAATATACCTCAATTTATTTGTCTCTTCTCTTAGTGATGGCGATTGTGGCTATTATGAATAGTGCTACTAAGAAAGTTCTTGCACATAGCTTTTGGTGAACATAATACACATTTCTATTGGATATCAGTATGTTAATCAAGGTCCAGTCAGAAAACAGAAATTGCCAGTAATTTGAACAGGGAAAGTATAATATAAACAATTAGTAACAGAGGATTCGTTACTATGAGGGGTTAAGAAACTCCCAAGATTATGAGAAGAGCAGATATAAGGAGCAGCTCCTGCCTAGGGCTGAGACAGACTGCCCAAGGAAAGAACAAATTTGGACAAGGGTCTTCTCCCCTTGAAATGGAGATTCTGGCCTTGTTGAAGATTTGGCTGTAGCCCTCTGGCTAACAGAGAAGTCCAGTGAGGTGCTGATGAACTCTCTCTGGGTCACCTTCTGGGGTCCAGCTGGGACACTGGCCAGTTCATCAGGACGCTGCTGGTGGGGTCTTGTACTCTCTGGCCCACTGCCTGTTTTGTTTTTTAAATGGTCCTAAAGTTAAGAATAGTTTTATATTTTAAAATAGTTAAAAAAAAAAAAAGAAGAAGAATGCCTTGTCACATGTGAAAATATTTGAAATTAAAGATTATATTTATCTACAAATGAAGTTTTATTGTAACAGCCACGCTCATTCATTCTTGTATTGTCTATGGCTGTACTCTAGTTTTAATAGCGGAACTGAGAAGTTACAATGGAGCCCACCTGTGAACTCTCATCGCTTCCTACCGCCGCCCAGTGAGTCACGATGCCCTCGAAACAGCATTTCGCCCAATGAGGGGTCACCTCACACCTGTCGGAATGGCTCCATCCACAAAGCAACCAGTGACACCTGCTGGCGAGGGTGTGGAGAAAGGGCACCCAGTACCCTGCCGGTGGGAATGCAGACTGGGGCAGCCACCATGGAAAACAGCATGGAGGTTCCTCAAAAGATTAAAAATTGACCTGCCATTTGACCCAATGATTCCACTTCTAGGAATAGATCCTAAGGAACCCCAAACACCAATTGCAAAGAACTTATGCACCCCTGTGTTCATAGCAGCGCAATTTACAATAGCTAAGATCTGGAAACAGCCCAGGTGCCCATCAGCAGATGAGGGGATAAAAAGCTGTGGGACATTCACACCATGGAATACTACGCAGCTGTAAAGAAGAACCTCGTGCCCTTTGGGACAGTATGGAGGGACCTGGAGACTGTTATGCTAAGTGAAATAAGCCAGGCAGAGAAAGACAAACATCACGTGATCTCACTTATAAGTGGAATCTAATGAACAAAATAAACTGGTGAACAAAATATGTCCGGAGGTGTGGATGCATGGAACAGAATAACAAATCTTGGGGTGGGCGTGGGGGGAGGGACAGGAAGAGATTAACCAAAGAACATATGTGCATATATGTATAACCCATGGACACAGACAATAGTGTGGGAAAGGCCTAGAGTGGGGCAGGGGTTGAGTGGAGGGGGGCAAAAAGGGAGAAGATGGGAGACATCTGTAATATGTTGTTGTCAACAATAATATATATATTATCATTGTTATATATATATGTATATATGAAAATAAAAAGGTTAAATGTATTTCCTAAGGCTCACAAATTGAATGCACATGGGGCCAGGCAAATAAGGTAAACGTGTGAACCCGATGGCACAACATACGAGTTCTCTTGGGGATTGGAAAGTGTAAGCTCTGTTCGGACACATTCAAATTCACATTATAAAATTTTATTTCTAATTGTGGTGACGTACACACACCATGAAAGTGACCGTCGCAACCATGTTCAAGTGCACAGGTTAGTGGTATTCCACACGCTTACGCTGTTGTGCCACCCTGGCCACTATCCATGCCCAGAACACAGTTCATCTCGCAAAACTGAAACTCTGTGCCCATTAAAGAGCCATTCACCCGCCTTTCCTGCCCTGGCCCCTGTCAACCACCATTCTAGTTTAGGTGTCTGTGAACCTGACTACTCTAGACACCTCGCAGAAGCAGAATCACACGGTATTCGTGTTCCTGTGACTTGGTTATTTNCATTCACCCGCCTTTCCTGCCCTGGCCCCTGTCAACCACCATTCTAGTTTAGGTGTCTGTGAACCTGACTACTCTAGACACCTCGCAGAAGCAGAATCACACGGTATTCGTGTTCCTGTGACTGGCTTACTGCACTGAGCGTAAGGTCCTGAGGTTTGCCGGGCTGTAGCATGTGTGGGAGTTCACGCGCTTCTCAAGGATGAGGAGCATTCCGCATACACCGCGTTTCGTTTGTCCATTCATCCGTCAGTGAACACTTGGGTTGCTTCCACCTTTGGGCTGTTGTAAATAATGCTGCTGCGAGCATGGGTGCACAAGTAATCCCTTGGAGACCCTCCTTTCAATTCTTTGGGTGGATACCC